TCAAGAACATCGGGAAATTGAGATTAAACAACATGAGTATACAAGAAAAAAAAAGCTAAAAAGGATAGAGATGCTTGTGAAACTACCCAAGAGGCAGCTCGTGGAAAGCAATGGTCGAAAGAGAGCCTTAGCAATGCTTTAAAAGATGAGGAGAGAGGAGAAAACTCTAGGCCATAAATCCCATTTTCATTACAAGGTTGTGCAGAAGATCTTGGTCCATTGTTTTTTGCGGATCATCTTTCACATTCAGTTATGTTTGTGAAGAGGTTTATTTGCTTATCAAGTGAAACATTAATTAGCTGTTTATATAATTTACAAGAGGACTAAACTTCTACTCGAAACTCTACAACAATTATGTATGATAGTCAAAGGTTTTATGCTAGACATATATGATCCCGTACGAAGGATCTGAATTCAATCCAAACAGTTAGCACTAAAGAGAGTAAAGACCAGGTGCTCCACCGAAGGAGAAGACAAAACATATTATTTTTGAATAAAAAAATATTATTAAATTTGAACATTAAACTAGAGACAAAACCAAATAAACTCAAGTGTAAGCTCACCATATGAAAATATCAAATTTATGTCTTTGTATCTAATTGTACACTATGATGCTAGAGTTTAGAATTTATATATTGTTTTCAGTAGTAACATGCATTTATAAGGGTTTAGGCTCCCTCTTAGGGTTTAGCATCATTTAAGTTTCCAAAAACAATGATGGTGTAATGTTAATCAATAATTTTACATGTTTGATTTAAAAAAAATATAGTAATGAAAAGTATAAATATTGATTTCTAAAATTAAATCTAAAAATTGATTAATAAATTAAAATTTGTTAATATGGTATAAGTAGCATCATGTTTTTAATTTACAATATCGTTTAGATGTTGCAACAACCTAAAACGCTCAACGCTCACAGTTACATAATTGGTTATATCCATACAAAAAATACATTAGATATTTGATTTTTTTAGTTGTATGATTTTAGTTTCAATTTAGAATTAAAAAAATACCTATTTAAAAACCCAAATCGTATTTTAAAGATTAACATTTTTGAAGTAAAATTTTTTTTACAAAAACTTATCATGGCACAGGCGCGGATAACAATAAGTGTATTTAGCCCAAAGCATGGGCCTTTAAACTAGTGTGTAATAATTTTTCTTTCTCTTCAAATAGACGTTTGTGTGAGGTCGAATCGTGTCGCGTTTACATTCTACAGTTTTTTTTCTTGGTTCCTTTCATTTTCAAACGAACGGGACACACCAGCTAAAGGCCCCTTTGCGTTTAGATCTAAGAAGAAGAGAGCGACGTATAGGGTTTTCAAGCGAAATTGTTCTACGGGAAGGGAAGGAGATTCAACGACGCCGACGAGCAATTCGATTTCAGTCTCTCCCTTGGAGTGATTTGTTCGATTCGATCGAAGGTATGGTTTAGCTCAGTTTCGGATTTGCTTCAGCGTATTATCGAATTTTCTTTGTGGAATTTGATCTCTTGTTACGGGTTTGGATTAAGCTTCTGTCTTTTCTTAATGGTGTGTGTATTTCTATTGAATCTGGAGATTTGGTTTCCTTGTAGTTGCCGAACAATCTGGGTCTATGTTTTTGCTTCTTTCTATGTAATTGGGTTTTGATTTGTGCTGTTCGAAAATATTTTTTGAAATTCTATGCTACTATTGTGTCGGTGCTATGTGATATGATCCAAGTTTGTGAATTCAAGCTCCGTTTTTGTTTTTGGATTTTGCGTCATTAGAAGGTACGAACCATGGTGATCTAGAATTGGTGGTGATCCACGAAAGAGTGATTGTGGGAACTAGAAGAAAGTGAAATCGAATGGATAAGAAAAAGAACCGTGCCGATCCACTCGCTGCTGGACGCCAGAAGGTTAGCTTCACTTTCTTTAAAGCCTACCTCTTCAGAATTTGGGTGAATTTGCTTAAAGATCACAAAATGTTAGTGAGAAGAAGAGAGAGGATTCTGCTGTTTTGTTTCCTTCTTGTAAACCATCAGACAAGTAGGAAAGGTTTGAACAATTGATAGCCTGGTGTCTTGATAAGTTGTCTTTTCTTCTTTAAGAAGTTTGAAAATTTGTGCTATTTTTCGCCAATAACTTTACCCAACTTGTCTACATGGTCTATATTTTATTACTTCCCTTGCCTTGATTTATACAGACATAGTTAACCACTTAGTTTCCTTACCTCATTTCAGCTTCAACAGTTTCGTCAAAAGAAGGCTGACAAAGGCACTGATCAGAAAAAGGACCCCAAAGGCAGTACAAGCCAAGGAAAATCCTCCAAAAAATCTGGTAAATCTGACAAGCATGAGCGTAAACCTGACACAAATGCTGTCAGTGACGAGGCAGAAGCTCCATCTAATGTGGCTGCAGGAGGAGCTACATCTCATATGAATTCTGGTGAGGAGGTTGTTGATTCTCCACAAACTTCTGCAAATGCATTAGCTCCCGAATATGTTTCAGTCCATGGTTCATCATCAGAATCTGATACGATTCAGCCAGGAAACACCACAGAAACTTCTGATAGTGGAGCTGAACTGAGAAAAGAAGTAAATTCTGAAAAGGGAGTTACACATGACGACGCATCTATTAATGGTGACAGAAGCTTTGCTGCTTCTGGAAACCTAGCGGAGGGGGAAGGAGTTGAAGTTCAAAGTGGATCTGGGAATGTGGAAAAGCCGCAGCATCAGCCAGCCTCGCTGCATGATTCTATTCCTGATGTTTCCTTGATTAGTGCAAGGGGAGATCAGGTAACTGATGTAGGTTGTTCTCTCCTTCTCTCTTCAATTATTTGATTTATTGCTTTTTCTTTGATAGGGTAAAGAGGTTAGATCAATTGCATGCGGCATTTGATGTATAATTCAATTCTCATTTGTTTCTGGGTAGGGGAAATGCAGGAAGACGATGTTGCACCCATGGAACAGTTTTCTGAATCATCTGCAAAGGCAGTTGTGGATAGGATTGCAATTGAAGAAAAGCAAGCAAGCTATCCAGCTGTTGTGGGTTCATCTGCTTCTGCTTCTCACTTTGCAGAGGGCTCCTCAGTTACATCTGATCCAGTTGAGCTAGAAGGAATAAATGGTAAAATTAGAAGCCAGCAGATTAGTGAAGCTGCAGAGCTTAATGAAGAGAAACCAGAAACATCTATTGGTCACGTGCCTTCAGCTGAACCTGAGGAAAGCTCTGTTACAGATGTGGTTAGTCAGCTGCAATTGCCTGAGAGCGTCAGTATATCTAGATTTGTGAGCCACGAGGAACCTCGTAAAATGGACACACTGAAGCCATCTGGCGAAGTTTCTGCTGCTCATGTTCATGAAGGCCGCTCAGTTAGCTTCTTACAGCTTATAGGTATTGTACAGGGACTTGGACAAGATGAATATCAAGTTTTGTGCAACGCAAGAGAGGCTGCTTCCAGTACTGAGCCAGGAACAAGTTCGTTGGAGCGATTAAGAGAAGAACTCTTTGTTTCGAGTACCATGGAAGATATACGCCATGTGCAACTTACAGAACAGTCTAATTTACAAAATGAGTTTGATCATCAACATAATCAATTTGTAGCTGAAATATCACAGCTTCGTGCATCATATAACGCGGTGACGGAAAGGAATGATTCTCTTGTGGAGGAACTATCAGAGTGCCAGTCTAAACTCTATGCTGCTACAAGCTCAAGTGAGAAGCTTAATAATCAGCTTATTGCTACAGAAGCACAAGTGGAGGATTTCACTGCTAAGATGAATGAGTTGCAGCTTAGCCTAGAAAAATCCCTATTGGATCTATCCGAGGCAAAAGAAAAGTTCATAAATCTTCAGGTGGAAAATGATACGTTGGTTGCAATTATTTCTTCCTCGAATGATGAGAAAAAGGAACTTCTTGAAGAAAAAGAATCGAAGAATTATGAGATTAAGCATCTTTCATCTGAGTTGTGCAATTGCAAGCACTTGGCGGCCACACTAAAGGCAGAAGTTGAGCAATTGGAAAAAACTATTGGTCCATTGACAGATGAGAAGATATATCTTGTTGAAGAAAAATATAAGGTTGTGGGTGAGGCAGAGAAGTTACAGGAAGAATTGGGCTATTGTAAGACTTTGATCACCCAGCAAGAGATGGAAAATTTAAACATAAGGGAGGCGCTTTCTTTACTGACAGGCCAGCAGGTTAAGCTTGAAGAGGATAACTTACCTCTCACAGAAGAAAATGAGAAAGCACATCTAGAACTGAGTGCTCATCTGATCTCGGAGACATATTTATTGTCCGAGTATTCCAATCTAAAGGAAGGGTATTCTTTGTTGAATAATAAACTCTTGAAGTTTCAAGCGGAGAAGGAGCGTTTGGTTGAGGACAATGATAAACTTACACATGAACTTCTTACTCTTCAAGAGTGTATGTCAACTGTACAAGAAGAGCGGACTCATCTAGAAGTTGAGTTAGGAGAAGCAATAGCGCGCCTTGATAAATTGGTTGAGGAAAATACATTTCTAACTAGCAGCATTGAGGTAGAAAAAGCTAAAATAGTAGACATTGGTAGCAAGGATGCTTCAGGATTGATCAATCAGGACATTTCTGAGAAACTTGGTGAAGGTTCAGAAGTCGAGGTTACAAGTGAACCGACTGCACCTTTTCTTGAAAATACCTCCCAAATTCCTGGTAAACATTATACAGATTTGGAAGAGGTAATGGTCAATACTTCTGAGTTTTCTGCCTTGAAGAAGAATTTGGAGAAGGGGGAGAAAATGGTTCAGAATCTCGAAGAGGCAATTAAGCAGATCCTCACCGATTCTTCATCGAGTAAATCTAGCAACAAAGCTGCCACACCAGCAGTATCAAAATTGATTCAGGCTTTTGAGTCAAAGCGGCAACCAGAAGAACAGGAATCTGGAAAAACACAGTTAACTGGCGATCAATCAGAAGCAGATGTTTCTGTGGATGTGCAGATTAGAAATTTGAGATGCTTGCTTGAACAGTTAGTGTTGAATGGTAGGAACGTTGGTATACAATTAAATCAATTGAATGATGAAAGGAATGTGACAAATCAAAGACTCGCTGAGTTTAATGTCGAGTTTGCATCTCATCAGGACCACATTAATCTTCTGGAGGCAGATTGTATTGAGAATAAGATTTCATTTGAAGCTCTGAAGCATTATTCTTATGAGTTGCAGCACAAAAACCAGGAACTTGAATTTCTCTGTGGATCATTAAGGCTGAGAAATGATAGTATCGGCGTAGAAAACACTGAGCTCAATAAGAAGCTAAATTCTTGCTTATCAAGAATTGACGAGCTTGAAATTCAGCTGGAAAGCTTACAGCAGAATTTAAGCAGCATGTTGTCCTCAATGGAAGAACAGTTACTGGCCTTGCAGGATGAATCTGAGAGGGCAATGATGCTAGAACATGAATTGACATCATCAATGTCTGAATTTGGTGAAGCAGTTGCGAGGCTTGATGATTGTTTACTCAGATCTGGCACTTCTGGAGCTCATGTTGGTTTTGATATGACCAAGCGCATATCTGGTTCTGTTGATGTTGCTGTAAAGGTGATTGACGACCTGGAGGAAAAACTAGAAGCTGCTTTTGCGAAGCATGAGTCCTCCTCAAACAAATATGAGGAATTGAATCAGAGTTTCAACATTCTGGTTGAGAAGAATGAATTTGCAACTGCTACAATGCGTAAGGTCTATACTGATTTGATAAAACTGATTACTGAATCATGTGGGTCTTTGAAGATGGCCAATCTTGAAAGTGAAAATCTAGCTGTTGCTGATCCTTTCGAGTATGGTAGTTGTGAGAATCTGATTGAGGCTGTGCAAAAAATTCTTTCTGAGAGGCTCGAACTTCAGTCTGTGATTGATAAGCTACAGTCCGACTTGTTGAGTAAATCAAACGATATGCAGGAACTGACGCAGCGAAGTCTTGATTCCACTTCGCTCCGACAGTTAGTTGAGAAGGTTGAGGGTGTTCTGGAACTTGAAAGTGGTGGAATTAGTTTAGAATCTCCTAGTTCATATATGGAGTTTGTGGTTTCCCAACTTGTTCAGAAGTTTATAGAGACGGAGGAATTGGCTAATGTCATCAGAAAACAGTTAGAGGCCAAGGAAAATGAGTTAATGGAAATCCAGGAGAGTTTACTGCACCATAAAACTGAAATGGATGATCTCAGCGAGAATTTAAGCCAGGCAGAGGAGTCCCTCTCGGTTGTGCGATCTAAGTTACAAGAGAAATCTAATGAACTTGAACAATCAGAGCAGAGGTTATCATCAACTAGAGAGAAGCTTAGCATAGCTGTTGCAAAAGGAAAAGGTTTAATTGGTAACCGTGACAATCTCAAACAGTTGTTGGCTGAAACCTCTGCTGAACTGCAGAGGTGCTCAGAGGAATTGAAATTGAAGGACACAAGGCTTGTGGAAGTAGAAGCAAAACTTAAAACCTATATGGAGGCAGGTGAACGTGTGGAAGCATTAGAATCTGAGCTTTCTTACATCCGAAACTCAGCTAATGCGCTCCGAGAATCTTTTCTTCTCAAAGATTCTCTGCTTCACAGAATTGAAGAAATTTTGGAAGATTTAGATCTCCCAGAGCATTTTCAGGCTCGAGATTTACTCGAAAAGGTGGAGTGGTTAGCAAGATCAGCTAACGGAAACTCTTTGCGCCCCTCTGATTGGGATCAGAAGAGTTCCGATGGAGGTGCGGGATTTGTTATTTCGGACCCCTGGAGGGAGGATGCACAAACTGGTACAAGTTCTGAGGATGACTTAAGGATCAAGTTCGAGGAGCTGAAGGGGAAGTTTTATGGATTGGCCGAACAGAATGAAATGCTGGATCAATCCCTGATGGAAAGGAATACTTTGGTTCAGAGATGGGAAGAACTCCTGGAGAATATTGATATGCCTCCGCACCTACAGTCCATGGAAGTGGAAAACAAGATTGAGTGGCTTGCAAGTACGATATCAGAGGCTACACATGGCAGGGATACTCTCCAACAGAAGATTGATAACCTTGAAGCCTATTGTCAATCACTAAGTGCTGATTTGGAAGTCTCGCAAAAGCAAGTATGTGATGTTGAGGCAAATCTTCAGTTGGTTGTTAATGAGAGGGTAAACCTTTCTGAAAGACTGGAAAGTGTGAATTGTGATCATGAGAGTGTTTCTGTGAGGGTCATTCACCTTGAAGCTGAAAATGAAAAATTGCAGAATCAAGTTAAAGATTTGCATGGAAAATTGGTTGAGAAACTTGGGAATGAAGAACATCTTCAGACTATTGAAGGAGAACTATTAGGTTTGAGGTCCATGATTGATGATGTTTTACAAGAAGATGGCTTGCAGGATTTGGCGTTAGCAAGTAATTCTGAGACCTTGGATGGATTACTGAGAAAGTTGATAGAATATTATAAGAATTTGGTGAAATCTAGTTTGCCACCTGAAAGAGATGACAACTTCTCTGAAACTCATCCATCAAATGCTGATGTTAGAAGCAGAGAGTCAATGGGTGCAGATGAAACAACTTCTCATGGGCACCAGCCTGAATTGACTGATTCGATTCTAGTTGAAGCAACAAGTAGAGACATAGGAGTAGTAGAGACACCTGATGTAGCTTCTCTAACGAAAGATCTGGAGGAGGCACTGCATGTTCAGAAGCTGACAAGAGAAGAGAGAGATTTGTACATGGAAAAACAGCAATCCTTGGCTGCTGAAAATGAGGCACTTGATAAGAAAATAATAGAATTGCAGGAGTTTCTTAAACAAGAGGAGCAGAAGTCAGCTTCTGTAAGAGAGAAGTTAAATGTAGCAGTCAGGAAAGGGAAAGCTTTGGTCCAACAAAGGGATAGCCTGAAACAAACTATCGAGGAAATGAACGCTGAGCTTGGTCGCCTGAAATCAGAGATTATCAACCGAGACGAAATGCTCTTGGAAAATGAAAAGAAATGTAGGGAGTTGGAATCTTACACGCTGAGGGTAGAAGCCCTAGAGTCCGAGTGCCAGTTATTGAAAAATCATTTGCAGGAAACAGAAAATGGTTTGCAGGAAAGAAGTGGTACATTGAGCATGACATTGAATGCATTAAATAGCATTGATATTGGTGATGAAGGTGATAGAAATGATCCAGTTCTGAAGCTTCAACGAATCTCACAACTGTTTCGGGATATGAGTACATCTGTGTCTTCTGCTGAGCAGGAGTCAAGAAAATCTAGAAGAGCAGCTGAGTTGCTCCTTGCTGAGTTGAACGAAGTTCAAGAGAGAAACGATAGTCTGCAAGAGGAGCTATCAAAATATACATATGAAATTCAGCAACTTTCCAGACAGAAGGATGCAGCGGAGGCTGCAAAAGTTGAAGCCATATCACAGTTTGAAAATTTATCAGTGGCTGAGAATGAAGAAAAGAAGAAGCTTTATGCTCAATTGCTGTCCTTTGCAACTAGTGTGAATACTCTGAGGAAAATACTGGCAGGTACCAACAATTGCCTAGGTGATATTTTCACTATTGATATGAAGTTTCTGCATCATCTGAAGGCAAATATGGAATCATGTGCGAAGCAAACGGGTACTAATTTTTCTGGCTGGCCTCAACTCAGTACAGGAAATTTTGTTGACAAGGTACTTTAGATCCTTTCAACAGCTTTTTATGGTATACGTTCAAGTTTTTCCTGCCACTGACTGTTCCTCAATATTGTTTTCCCCCTTTCTTGTTTAGGAATTCTTTTCACGCTTGAGTGCTGCTTGGTCTAACGTCAACTTGCATGAGATTTCAAGTGGTGGAAACATAACCGAAATTTGTGGTTCTCTCTCACAAAACCTTGATCAATTTGTGGCCGAAGTTAGCCTTCTCGAAGAGAATGTAAGCAAGCACTTGGCATCGTGGCATGAACAGGTCAACATTGTATCCAACAGTATCAACACCTTTTTCAAGTCAATAGGAACGGGAACAGACTCAGAAATTGCTGCTTTGGGCGAAAGAATTGCCTTGCTTCATGGAGCATGTTCTAGCGTGTTGGTGGAAATTGAAAGCCGTAAGTCTGAATTGGTTGGAAATGACAATTTCAATATGAGTCGCCATCAAGTAGAAGAAGATTTTTCATCCATGGAATCTATCAGGTCCATGGTAAATAGGCTATCTTCAGCTGTTAAGGAGCTTGTTGTAGCAAATGCTGAGACTGTGGAGAGAAATGAAAAGGAGATGAAGGTAATCATTGCCAATTTGCAAAGGGAGTTACACGAAAAAGACGTCCAAAATGATAGGTTGTGCAATGAGCTTGTGGTTCAAGTTAAGGAAGCTCAGGCTGGTGCTAAAATCTTTGCAGAAGATCTTCAATCTGCAAGTGCCCGGATGCGTGATATGCAAGACCAGCTGGGCATTTTGGTGCGGGAACGGGATTCTTTGAAGGAGAGAGTAAAAGAGCTGCAAGAAGGGCAAGCCTCACACTCAGAATTACAGGAGAAGGTCACATCGCTTAGTGATCTACTAGCTGCGAAAGACCAAGGTCAGTTTTTCTGTTTGAACCTTTTGTTTTTTCTGCCACTACACATATAGCTAATACGTAATTGCTTGCTGCAGAAATTGAGGCATTGATGCAAGCGCTCGACGAGGAAGAGTCTCAGATGGAGGATCTGAAACACAGGGTTACAGAATTAGAACAGGAAGTGCAACAGAAGAACCTAGATTTGCAGAAAGTTGAAGCTTCTCGTGGGAAGATTTCCAAAAAGCTATCAATTACTGTGGATAAATTCGATGAGCTCCATCATCTGTCTGAAAATCTTCTTGCTGAGATAGAGAAACTTCAACAGCAAGTGCAAGATCGGGATACTGAGGTTTCATTTTTGAGACAAGAAGTCACTAGGTGCACCAATGAGGTTCTTGCTGCTTCTCAGATGGGCACTAAGAGAGATTCAGAAGAAATCCAAACTGTACTTTCTTGGTTCGACACGGTAGCTTCTCTACTTGGTCTTGAAGATTCACCTTCCACTGATGCTCACAGTAACATAAACCACTACATGGAGACGCTTGAGAAAAGGATTGCGTCTATACTATCTGAAATAGACGAATTACGGTTGGTTGGACAAAGCAAGGATTCGTTGCTGGAAGCTGAGAGGAGTAGAGTGGCTGAGCTCAGACAGAAAGAAGCAACTCTTGAGAAAATATTACATGAGAAAGAATCCCAACCAAACATGTCAACAAGCTTGACTTCAGAGATTGTTGAAGTGGAACCTCTGGTAAGCTTAGTGCCTGTTGAATAGTTTCCCCATCAGATACCTCAAACGACATCGGATTATGTTTCAAATTTTTTTGGTATCGCAGATAAACAAGTGGACGACGAGTGGAACAATCCCATCACAAGTCCGGAGTTTGCGTAAGGGAAATAACGACCAAGTCGCCATTAGTATAGATGCAGATCAAGCTGATCATAGCCATAGCTTAGAAGATGATGATGATAAAGGTAACTACACTTGTCCCTTGATATTTTTTTACTTGAGTTAATCAGCTACACATTCTCTTTGTGATATTCACATCGTGGTTTTCTCTTTTTGCGTTTTAGCTCATGGTTTCAGATCACTCTCTACGTCAAGAATTGTTCCTAGGTTCACAAGACCAGTGACTAACATGATTGATGGTTTATGGTTAGGCTCTCTCCATTTATCGATTTTCACTCGATTTGGAAATTCTTAATTCCGGTCTAATGAAAGCGATATTTTATTTTATTTTCAGGGTCTCTTGTGACCGGACGCTCATGAGACAACCTGCATTGCGGTTAGGCATCATGATTTACTGGGCGATATTGCATGCTCTTTTGGCTGCTTTCGTAGTCTAACCAAACTTCCAAGTTGGTAAGCTCATTACCAGACCTTTTTTCGCCAAATCTAAACCCGAAATTTCGAACAGAAGCTCGTTTTTCAGGACTTTTTATACGTGTTCTTTATATCTTCGCAGCAGCTGGGTATCTCGTTATGGCACGGGCTCAAAGTGGTGTGTTGTTTTCACTAAATGTTATTTTGGTTGTCTTTTTTATATTCATTGTTTAGCTTTTATTAACCAAGCAAACTGTGGTTTTACCATTTTTTATTGATCCGAATCACAAACTGCTTGGCTTTACAACCGAATAAGAAGAAAATGTTTATGTAGTAGATGTTGAAAAAGATTTGACTATAGACTATACGAG